GGTAGGGTTGCACTCTCATCATGTATAGAGCTGTTGACTAGACTGAAGGGTACCTCAGTGATTGATTGCCAGAGGTAGGCTGATAGTGTTACTGAGTCACCTGAAACATTCAAAACATTATCAAGATGATACTTCCACGTTCTCCACCCAAGATCGATAGGTCCTCTATATCAATGACCTTATTGATCGTATCTTGTTCTGTATCTACAGTCACTACGCCTGTATGACCACCGGGCCAGGTTATCCTAAAAAGGGTATATACAGTCGCATCGATGTTGACGACTATCCTACCATATAAAGGTGGGCTCTTGAGCACCCTTATACGGATTGGCGCAGGACATTACCACCTCGACTGGGGACAGGACGGTGAACTCTGACATACTCCTCAACCGAATACCATACACAGGGAGGATTCCTACCACTAGATAACTCCGCTGAACATCTTAGGGAGTCCATGGAGAAAGCATAGGATGTGATCTTGGGTGGTGATGGTGCGATGTCTCTACAAGCCGTCACTGGAGGGCTACCATCGATCGTCTCGACCTATCAGTGAGCTCCTATACCGTACCACACCATGACAAATACTCACCTGTATGACTATGGCAATGAGGTCGGATGTGGGCATATGATCGATCATCATCTTACAATGGACGGTGGTATCAGCAAGCGAGCAGCTATAATGTTGGAGGCCCTGTGAGACGGCAGCCCTAGCCTCCTTACATGTAGCACCATCTACGATATACGACCTATGGAGAGTATCTGGTTACTACCATGGAGGCATAGCACGTACCGAATGGTGAGAGACCCATCCAATGAGGAGAAGAGGTCACTGTTCCCTGTTGGTATGATTCTGGCTGATGCATCGAACTCGATACCGGGGATAGGGTTGTTAACCGACAGCTGTAAGGGATCCAGCCTTAACAGAGGGTGCTCAATTGTTAAGCTCGCACTCTGACTCAAGACTGCACCCAACGGATCACGAGCGATCGCTGTAATCTGAGAAGTGATAACATTACCAGAGGATTGATGATCCCCTCACCTCGATGGTCTGCCCTTCGGTCCGTGGCCCCTCTATATCATCGAAGAGG